GGCAGGGACAGAGGGCGGACGGCGGGTATAAAAGAGGTGGAGCGGGCCCTCAGAGCTCGGGGACTCAGCGCAAAGAACGGAGTCGGTCTTGGGGCGCTGGGACAACCTCCGGGAGCCGACAACCCCAGGAGAGTGGGGAAAAGGCAGAGTAGGGTGGGACCAACGGGGTAGTAACTGGCAACTGGGGAGGAGGGACATGTGCGTAGCAGATGGACCCACAGGGAAGGACATCGGGGTGGCAGAGACGGAAACCGGGAGGGGAAATAGAATTGGAAGGGTGTGAAGTTCAAAAGGGAAAACAATGGGGGAAGAAACTGGGTAGGGGTGGAACCAGTGGGGACAATGAGTGGGTCGGAGGGGGGCGGGATGGAGGGGGACGTTCCCTGAGTGAGAAGAGAAGGACCTCTCCGAGTGAGACGGGAGCTGGGGAATAGGGATGGGGCTGGGACTGCGGGAGGCGGTGAAACTGGAGGGCGCCGAGCAGCAGGCACAGGACGGGGAGGGTGAAACGCAGACGGGAACTCGCAGTGTGGGACCTCAAGGGACTAAAGGAGACGGGCCCGAAGCTGGGCTGACAAATCTCAGCGAACCGGGAAAGGAAAATCTGGGTAGAAGGAGCCAGGAAGGCTGGGACTGGAAGATAACTCGGGAGAGGGACGGAACTGGGGGGCGATACCACCGAGTTCAAAACCCGAGGCGTGCTCTCCGGCTGGCGCGGACCGAGGAACTGGCTGCAAAAGGGGCGGGTCTAGCATGCGGGGGCGGGGCCTGCGCGCTAGGCGGGGCTTCCCCGCGCCCCGCCCCCGTATCTGAGTCCTGCGACGCGGGGTGGGGCCGGCCACCAGGGAGTTCCGCCAGGAGGAGTTTCGGAAGCTGGCGGGTCGCGCCCTCGGGAGACTGCACCGGTGAGCGTGATGGGGGTTCTGGGAGGGGAAGAGTGAGGGTCCGAGGAAGCCGTTCCTTCTCGCCTGGGCGCAGGTGGACAGGTGGTACCCAGCATGGGGGGGTCCACCATCTATCTCGTTTTCTCCCTCGGTCTCTGACAGCGCCTCCTCTCCGGTCTAGTCCATTAGCTTTTTCATCTTTCTGCACCCCGCCCCACCGAGGTTCTGTGCTTTTCTCCGAGACTGGATAGTCCTCTCTAGGTCTCTGACCAGCTCTCCCAGCCCTCTCTGGCTCTGTCCCTTTTCTCTGCATCTCTGTACCCCTCTCTGGGTCTCTTATCCCTTATCTCTGGGTCTCTGTCCCCCCTGCTTTGTAGCCATTGCTCTCCCTTGATCTCTCTCATCCCCTGATGCTTAGTCGTCTCTGTCGCTCTCTCTCTGGGTCTCTCCTCTCCCCTGGATCTCAGGTCCCCCTTCTTTGGGTCTCTGTCTCCCTCTTTCTCTAGACCTCTGTCTGCTGAGTTTTTATTCCAAACCCTGGGTTTCTCCATGTCTCTGTGTCATTCTCAGTTTCTATCTCTCAGAGAGATTAATCTGAAGCTAAAGCGGATTGGGGCCCATCGGTCCTTGTCCTTGAGGGGGGTTAAGCTGGGAGGAAGAGTGTCCTGAGTTCCTAGGGGAGAAAGGGGTTGCAGGCCGAAAAAATGAGGCTCCTAGAGAGGTACCGACTTCACAGAGGCTGGAGGCCGGAGCTGGGAGGGACTTCCTCCTCGCCAAGGCCATGACCCCAGTGACCTGGGCGTCCCCAGGTATCTGAGCACCTCCCCCAGTCTCTCACCCCCAACCCCAGCTCTGGCTCCAAGTCAGAGAAATTACTCAGCTGCGGAGAAGCCTAAAAATATCTGGCCACAGTGCAGAGAGGAGATGGCCTCGTCGGACATGGCCCTGCACCCACACTCTCGGACCCTGTCCCCTCAGCCCATAGCACTGACCCCCCCCTCTCCAGCTGACCCTCAGTTGGTGTCACTGGGCCGCTCAAGTCCTTTTGTAAGTCTAACGTGAATCCTGCCTGCTGCAGATCACCTCCCAGGTCCAAAGTTACCCCACCCTCTGGTAACACGAGAGAAGAAGAGGCAGCAGGGAAGGGAGGGGGCAGGAGGATGGTGCAGTGGCGGACTGGGGGGAGCAGAGATAAGCTCACCCTTTCTTTTTCCAATTTCCCAGCCCCTCCCCACTCTTTTTCTCGCCTCCTTTCACGAGTTTCTCAAAATACATCAGCGTGAAGTCAGGAGAGCGAAGAGTGGAGCGAGTGAGAGAGACGTGCGGATGGAGGGGGCTGCGGTGGTGGCGGAGGGAGGGCTGTGTTCCTCAGGCCCCCTCCCTCGGTCTCTGCTCCCAGCTCCTCATCTCCGGCTTCTCTCAGCCCACCTCTGCCGCACCCTCACCTCTCTGAGCTGCCTCCCGGCCCCCTGAACCCCCAGAGCCCCCAGAGCTCAGGGCCCGGCCAGGACAGGCGCAGGGAGTGTGCGGAGAGGAGCACTGGGTCCGAAGGGGGTCATGGTGAAGCTGGAGACGGGGGTGCCCCGTAATGGACACTGCACGGCGTCCCACTCAGTCTTCTCGACACAGCTGGGGAACCGAGGCTCAGCTCAGGACTGGCAGGGGTCGTGATCACTTGACTCCAGGTCCGTCTCCCTCTGAAGCCCACGATGTAGGGTGCACATTTCCCCTGAGCTAAGGGCTGCTGGAGTGGTGGAGAGCACCCTGGCCCGGGAACAGACGGTAACCCGGACGAGGACGTGGGGACAGCCACGCGGAGCTGAGCCGAAGCACCTTCATCCTGAGAGCCAGGCCCTGGGCAGTGTGAGGCCGGGGGCCAGGAGGCCGTCGGAGTCAGGCTCCGGTGACCTCCGTGTGTCACTGGGGGTATGCTACTGCTTCTGAGCCTCAGTTCCTCCGCTGTACAGTGGGAAGGTGAGGGAGAGCCACAGGGCCACCAGAGGACAGACCTGGGGGAGTGGACAGAGGGCCACAGAGGCTGAGGCAGTGCCACAGAGGAGAGGTGAAGGCACCCTCTTCATTCTGGTCACCTGCCTCCAATCTTTGCTTTGCCTCCAAACCAAGTCCCCAGGCCGGAGTCGAGGCCGTAGGGCAGGGGAGGAGGACGCCCGCCGGGGTCCGCTCTTCTCATCTTCCGTGACGCAGGCACCTCCGCTCTGGGTCCAGATCCTCTTGTCCTAAATGATGACGTCACCTTGACGTCCCTCGTGAGTCTCGTACACTGCTGCTCTTGTCCCCACTTTACAGACATGGATCCCAAGACCCCTGTTTAGAAAGCCTCGGTCATAGATTTGACACCTCATAATATTAACAAGGAGAATCAAACTGCAGGGGCTGTGGTCGCCTCTTGAATTTCAGGGTCAAATATCACCTGATAGCCCCATCCACCTGGTCAAAGTCTAATCTCATTGGCTGCCAATGGTGGCGGGGGCAGGGGGAGTCCCTGCCATCCTAAACTTCAGACTCCCACCTCGCCACCCCAGTCTCTGTCCCCTCTCTAGGTCGCATTCTTCCTCCCTGGGGTTCTGTCCACCCTTTCTCCCCCACTAGGATTTCTGACCACCCCTCCCCACCTGCTGGAGTTCTAGAGTGGGGAGGGGCGACTGTGTTCTCTCATCTCTTCCACCCTCCTCCCCCCAGACCGTCTGGCTGTTCTCTCCTCCCCGTCCCAGTCTCCCTCGCCTCCATCTGTTCTAGCCCCTTCCTGGGATCCAGCCCGATCCCCTGGCTGCCTACCCGCCTCGGAGAGGGGCTGCACCTCACAAATCACGCCCCCAGCCTGCCTCCCCTGTCTCCTCTCTCCATTCTTCTCCCGACATCCTGGGTCTCAGTTCTCCCTGCATCCATGTCTTCCCTCCCGGGTTTCTGTCCTCATTGCTCTGCATCTCTGTCCCTCCCCCTGTCTCTGTCCCTCCCTCTCTCCAGATCTCTGTCCTTTCTCTGGATGTCTCTCCCTCCTGTTTCTGACCCACTCTCTGGGCCTCTGCAGGACTCTCCCACGTCTGCTGCCCGTTTGGG